TCTTTCCCTCTCTCTGGCGAGCACTTGCACCCTACAGCAAATTATTTAAAGAACAATTTATTTTATTTATTATTTATATTAATTATGTATGAATATACCAATATATTATATATTGTTATTCTATAATGTTCTGTATTAGTATTTATAATAATTATTATTGTCCTTTAATGATTATTAATTGTTTATTATTATTATTGTCCTTTAATTTGCTATAGGGCAATTGCACTCACCAGAGAGAGAGGAGGACGGAGGGAGCGAGAAAGCAAGCTGCCAGGTCCAGGATTCAAACTGTGGTCAGCATATAGGAGTCCAGTACCTTAACCACCATGACACCTGTTGGCCCCATATAGCAAGTTAATAAATAATAATCTGGGGGCAGCAGGTGGCGGAGCTGTTGAGGTGCTGGACTCCCACATGATCAATGGTGGTTTGAGCCCTGGGTCTGGCAGTTTGCTTTCTCTCTCTCCTTCTCCCTCTCCCTCCCTCTCAGGTCGAATTAAGTCATAATAATAAATAAAAGTAAATAAATAATTTTTTTTTTGGAGAGATTTTCACTGTAGGGCGCGTGCGCTCGCCAGACAGACAGAGAGAGACATAGAGACAGAAAGCGAGAAATCACCCTCCAGGGGGGATGGTCACGCCGCAATCCCTTCTCCATTCTCCTCTCGGGATCTTGGGCATGCACGCACACGCGCCCGGCGTGAGTTTTAAGCCACCGGGTCCGGGACATGAACTGCGGTCGACTACGTGGGAGTCCAGCGACATAGCCATTACGCTAACTGCTGGTTCCCAATAAATAATTTTTTAAAGAGAGTTTTTTGCTATAGGGTGCGTGCGCTAGCCAGCCAGACAGAGAGAGACAGAAAGCGAGAAATCACCCACCAGGAGTGGTTACCACGCCACAATCCCCTCTCCTCCATTCTCCTCTCGGGATCTTGGGCACACACACACACGTTCCTGGCGTGGGTTTTATGCCACCGGGTCCAGGACATGAACTGCAGTCGATTACATGGGAGTCCAGTGACATAGCCATTACGCTAACTGCTGGTCCCAAATAAATAATGGTTTAAAAAATAATAATAACAGGGGCCGACAGGTGGTGTGGTGGTTAAGGGTGCTGGACTCCCACATGGCCAACCAAAGTTCAGGTCCTAGATTCGGTGGCTTGCTTTCTCACATTCCCTCTCTCTCTCTCACTCTGCTCAAATCAAAATAAATAAAATAAAATAAAATAAAGTGAAATAAAATCTGGGGAAAAAAAAATCCCCTACCAGGGTTAAAGGTCACCCTCACAACGACTCCCAAATAATGATTCCAGACCCCGCTCCCGCAAAAGGAAAACACACAATTGGAGCAAGTCCCCTCCTTGTGGCCCATACCACACTCTGTTACCGGGTAGGTGAAGTTGGAGGCTGGGGCGACCGGGTGGGCCCTGTCCCGCGATGGTGGAAGCGGTCACCCATATCTCGCAGGGACCCGAGTGCAGGTCAGGCAGGGTGATGTTCTGGGTGCTGCCACTCACTGAAGGACAGGAGAGGGGTTGGGGAGACAGGGGAGGCTGAGCTCAGGGGCTTTGCACATGCTTCTGTGCGGTCTGCAACACGCTGCCCCAGAATCCTCGTTCAGGTCTTCGTTCAATCATCACCTCCTCTACCTGCCATGCCTCACTACAAAATGCACCCTGGGGCCAGTAGGTGGCGTGGTGGTCAAGGCGCTGGACTCCCACATGGCTGACTGTGGTTCCAGTCCCAGACCTGGCGGCTTGCTTTCTCACTTTCTCTCTCTCCCTTGCTCTGTCCCTCTTTGGTCAAAATTAAAATAAATAAATAAAGTTAAATAAAATACCATTTTGGGGGGACCAGCAGGTGATGTGGTGGTTAAGGTGCTGGATACTTTCACATGGCCGACCACGGTTTGAGTCCTGGACCTGGTGGCTTGTTTTCTCACTTTCCCTCTCTCTGTCTCTCTGGTCATATTAAAATAAATAAATGAATAAATAAAATTAAATTTAAACAAGACTTCTTTTCTTAAAAAATAAATAAAATAATAATTCTTTATAAAAAAAAATTCAGCCTAGGGATCAGCAGTGGTGTGGTGGTTAAGGTGCTAGACATTCCCACAAGGTCGACCACAGTTCAAGTCCCGGACCTGGTGACTTGCTTTCTCACTTTCCTTCTCTCTCTCTCTGTGACTCTGTCAGGTAAAAATAAAAATAAATGAATGAACAAATAAAATAAAATCATTCTTTAAAAAAAAAAAAAATTGGGCCTAGACCCAAGAGTAGGAAAAAGAAATGAAAAGCACATGTAATCCTACAATCTGGGTTGACACCGAGAGGAATCCTTTCCATACGTGGGCCTCCGCTCTGCTCAATACTGGTTTTATTTGACCAAAATGGAACCATCTCACAGTTTTGCAATCCTTTTATCTTTTTCGCTTAATAAAATATGACGGGCATCTTTCGGTGTCGATAAATATAGATCGAAGTTTTCATTGTTAATGGGCTGAATGATAGTCTATTACATGGATAGCCAAGAGAGGAATTGGCCTCTAGGGAAGGGACACCATCATCAATTTCCCAGGAGCTAAGGAAGAGCCAAAGGGGCCCCTCTGTGCTGAAGGGTAGGGTAGGGTGATTAGGGGGTCTTGCCGGGAGTGGGAGGAAAAGGTGGGAGGCAGGGAAGCTCACCATTCTTGCAGACGGGAGGCCTGGATCCGCTCCGAACACACACGGTGTAGTGGGTGAGGTGGCCCCGGAGCTGGCTCCTGGGGACCTTGCCCCACGCGATGGCAGGGGTCCCAGGGGGGTCATCGGGGAGTCGCCATAGCGCTGGCCCTGCTACGGGTGCTGGGGGGAAAACTCCGAGACTCAAAGACTGCAGGGATCCAGAACACCCCCCCACACACATTTCCATTCCCACTTCTTACCCAGTTCCTCTCTGAACCCCCAGACTGAAGACGCAGGGGCCAAGCCCCAAGGGGAAACCGCGGTCACTGTGATTCGATAGGGGACTCCGCCCGTGAAAGTCCCTGGGTAGTGGAGGAGGAACAAGAACCAGTTAACGTTGGCTCTTAGGGACCAGTAGATGGTGCGGTGGTTAATGAAGCTGGATTCCCAAAACCATGGTTCGTATCCCAAACCCAGTAGCTTTAAAATCACGCCGGGCGCGTGTGTGTGTGTGTGTGCAAGATCCCGAGAGGAGAATGGAGGAGAAGGGATTACAGCGTGGCCATCCCCCCTGGGGGTGATTTCTCATTTTCCCTCTCTCTGTCTCTCTTCTCTCTGGGGAGCACACATGCCCTATGGCAAAAACGTAAATAAATAAATAAATAAAAGTAAGGTTGGCTTTTGGAGCCAGCAGGTGTCCTGATAGGTAAGGTGGCTGGATACTCTGTAGCACATGTCACAGTTCGAGTCCTGGGACCAGCAGATGGCGTGGTGGTTAAGGTGCTGGACACTCCCACATGGCCAACTGCGGTTTGAATACGTAACCTGGTGGCTTGCTTTCTCACTTTCCCTCTTTTTATCTCTGTGTATCTCTCTGGTCAAATTAAAATAAATTAATGACTAAATAAAATTAAATAAATAATTATTTTTTTTTAAAAAAGTGAAGGAGAAGGGATTGAGGTGTGGTTATCCCCACTGGGGAGTGATTTCTTGCCTCCTGTCTCTCTCTGCAAGTGCACATACATATAGGAAAAAACTAAAATGAATTTATTAATTAAAGTGGGCTCATTTTTTTAATCTTTTTTAAAATTATTCTATTTAACTTTATTTATTTATTTTAATTTGACCAGAGAGGGACAGAGTAAGTGAGAGAGGGAAAGTGAGAAAGCAAGCTGCCAGGTCCTGGACTTGAACCGTGGTTAGCCATGTGAGAGTCCAACACCTTTAACCACCACGCCACCTGCTGGGTCCTGTTTTTCTTTTTGAATGTTTATTAAATTTTATTTATTAGTATTTCTTTTTTTTTTTGGAGAGTTTTTTTTTTTTTTTTGGTATAGGGCGCGTACACTCGCCAGACAGACAGAGAGAGACATAGAGACAGAAAGCAAGAAATCACCCCCCAGGGGGGATGGCCACGTCACAATCCCTTCTCCTCCATTCTCCTCTCAGGATCTTGGGCACGCATGTACACGCGCCCAGCGTGAGTTTTAAGCCACCGGGTCCGGGACACGAACCGCGGTTGACTACGTGGGAGTCCAGCGACATAGCCATGACGCTAACTGCTGGTTCCCATTTATTAGTATTTCTTAATCTGACCCAAGAGACACAGAGAGAGAGAAAGAGAGTCCTAGACCTGGTGAATTTTGCTTCCTGACATTTTACCACTGGGCCACAGCTCACCCCATCCTTTCTTTTTAAGTTTTGGTATAGGGCCCGTGTACTCACCAGAGAGAGACACAGAGAAAGAGAGAGAGACAGGGAAAGTAAGCAATCACCCCCTCGGGGGAGATGGCCACGCCGCAATCCCTTCTCCTCCATTCTCACTCGGGATCTTGGGCACGCACGCACATGCACACACACACACACTTGGCATGACTTTCTTTTTTTTAGAGAGATTTTGGCTCTAGGGTGCATGCACTAGCCAGAGAGAAGACAGAGAGAGTGAGAGATCATCCCCATGGGGTATGGCCATGCCGCAATCCATTCTCCATTCTCCTCTTGGGACTTTGGACACGCACACATGCACGCACACGCACCCGACGTGAGTTTTAAGGCTGCTAGGTCTGGGACTCGAACTGCAGTCCACTACATGGGAGTCCAATGACATAGCCATTACATCATCTGCTGGTCCCCCTGAACTGATTTTCAAGCTCCCAGGTCTGGGACTCGAGGCCATGAGGGAGTCTTGTGCCTTAACCACCCCGCCACCTGCCGCCCTGTGGTCCCCTTTCCCCTTACCAGCTGAGACGGAAACCCAGGTGATCCACAGCCTTACCTGGTAACAGAGCACTGAGGTTCCCGGGGGGAACCCAGATCCAGTTGAAGTTCTCCAAGGGGTCCCCATCTTGAGCCCAGTCAACCACGTGCTCCTGTGTCTCCCCGGAGCCCTGTTGCCAGGTCACCAGCAGCTCTGGGCGCCCGGGGATACTGCGGACCTCCACACTGCGGGGGGCGGAGCCTGGGGCTAGAGGGTGGGAGGAGTCTCAGCTGTCCATCAGGGCATCCCTCCGCCCCTCCACGGCGCTGAGCTGGGCCAATGGCTACGTCTGGACTCCCATGTAGTCGAACGCGGTTCAAGTCCTGGACCCAGTGGCGTAAATTCACACTGGGCATGTGTGTGTATGAGCCCAAGACCCCAAGAGGAGGATGGAGGAGAAGGGATTGCAGCATGGCCATCCCACCTGGGGGGGGTGATTTCTCGCTTTCTGACTCTTTCTTTCGGGAAAGCAAAAACCTCTCCCCCACCCCCCCAAAAAGAATGATTTTTATTTAATTTTATTCATTGTCATTATTTTAATTCTATTTCTTTGAAGTTGACCACAGAGAGAGAGAGAGAAGGAAAGTGAGAAAGCAAGGTGCCAGGTCCGAGACTTGAAGCATAGGCAGCCACGTGGGAGTCCAGCGCCTTAACCACCACGCCACCTGCCGGCCCCCTGTTCATGCTTTCTTACCCAAGCAGAGCAGAGAGAGGTTGGTGGGAGGCTCCCAGCTAGAGGCATTGACAGCGGACACACTTGCCCCCTCAGCCCAGGTGGGGATGGAGGTGTTGCAACAGGGGAGTCCTTCCTGGGTCAGCGTCTGCCCTCCAGCCCAGAACAGGACCACATAGGCCACCTGCACACAGGACTCCGGGGCCTGAGAGATCAGGGGAAGAAAGGGTTAATAATACGGGGAGGTGGGACCAGCAGTTAGCTGTGTTGCTGGACTCCTATGTAGCCGACCGCGGTTCGAGTCCCGGACCCGGTGGCTTAAACTCACACCGGGTGCGTGTGTATGCGTGCTCAAGATCCCGAGAGGAGAATGGAGGAGAAGGGACTGCAGCGTGGCCATCCCCCCTGGGGGGGTGATTTCTCGCTTTCTGTCTCTCTGTCTTTCTGGCAAGCGCACGTACCCCGAAAACCTCTCCAAAAAATAAAATAAATAAATAATAATCCGGGGTGGGGAGGGCCCCCACCCCAACACTAACCCTAACTCTAGTACCAGGTACCTGGGGCTGGTGGAGACTGGGGTAGGTCATGTCATCCAGACCCTACTGATTTCTGTCTCTGTCTCTCTCGGTCATGGAAGAAATAAATAAAGATAAAAAAATCTCTTAGGACCAGAAGTGGCATGGAGGTTAAGGTAGCTGGATCCTATATGGTCTCCTGATGCTTGAAATCACACCCAGGGGACCAGCAGTTGGCGTAATGGCTATGTCGCTGGACTCCCATGTAGTCAACCGCAGTTCGAGTCCCGGACCCAGTGGCTTAAACTCACGCCGGGCGCGTGTGCATGCGTGCCCAAGATCCCGAGAGGAGAAAGGAGGAGAAGGGATTGCGGCGTGACCATCCCCCCTGGGGGGTGATTTCTCGCTTTCTGTCTCTCTGTCTCTCTGTCTGTCTGGCGAGCGCACACGCCCTATAGCGAAAAACCTCTCCAAAAAAAAAAAAAAAGGGCTGGATTCCCACAGGAGCAACTGCTGTTCAAGTCCCAGACGTGGTGGCTTGGAAATCACTCTGGGGGCCAGCGGGTGAGAAATCCCTCCAGAAGTAAGGGCCAATGGTACTCCCTCTCCACTCTCCTCTTAGGATTTCGGGCATACACGCCCTGTGTCATTTTCAAACTGCTGGGTCAGGGACTCAAACCATGGAGTCACCCCTGTGGGATCCTGCTGCCATAACCTTCATGTCACCTGCTGGCCCTGGGATTTTTTTTTAATTTTTATTTGTTTCAGGGCACATTTGTTCACCGGAGAAAAAGACAGAGAGACAGAGAGAGAGCAAGAGAGAAAGCACCCCCCATTGGGAATGGCCACACCGCAATTGCTCCTTCACATCCCTCTCAAGATTTTTGGGCATTCACGCACAAGCGCCTGGCATGTTTCTCAAGCCACCAGGGAACCACACAGTCGGCCATGTTGGATCCAGCTGCTTTCACCACCACGCCACCAGCTGGCTCCCCGTCAGGTACTTTGATGATGACAAATGAACAAAACAAATAGAGCTAGTTGAGATGACACAGTTTCTAATTAGAGCAACCACACCTTGAACACTTACACTTGGTTCTTCAGGAGATAGCAAAGGCTAAAGGGGGAAGGGCAGATGTAGATACAGCGCAATCTACAAAAAAATTACAGTACCTCTGGGTGTGTGCCATGCAGCCTTAAGCAAAACTCTTAAAATGCTCTTCGTCTTGTTTACTTATGCTATAAGAGGACATCAAAAACTTTATGGAAAATGGAATTAAATGATGAGTTTTATTGTGGTGCAAGAGAACTTTGAAACATATGTGGGTTTTCTTTATAATATACATTTTTGGTGAACTTTCTGAATATCCTTTGTATGAGAGGGATTGTAACACCCACTTCAAACTGTCATTATAAGGTTTTAAGTGGTCTTTTACATTCAGAAATTAATTCATTTAACAAAGAAGGATGGAGAGTTATTTACTAGGTGATGGGGATACAGACCTGGCCCTTGACCTCACAGTGCTTTTATTCTAGCAGAAAAGATAAATATTGATTAAATAAGTACAAAAATAAATATAAAGTTATAAGTGTGCTAAGCATTTTGGAGACTTTTATGGTACTATGAGGATGGGAAATCCATCTTAGCTAGGCAGTGGGAGGTCAGGAAATCAGGGAAACTACTGAAGAGGTGACTAAAGGGCAGCGATCTACAGTAGAAATTGGTCTGGACCACCTAGAGACAGGAGAAATGCCTTTGAGCAGAAATATTCATTGGAGTAAGAAATAGTCCCAGGGAGAGATGTGATGCAGTGGAACAGGATACCTGTGAGAAATCACGAGAAAGGCAAGATGCCTTCAACAATAAGCACTACGGGAAATATGAGTATGACAAGGCTGAAGTGGTGGCAGGAGTCAGGCCTCACAGAAACTTCTAGGTCATGTTCTAAGAGCAATGGAAAGCCTGGGAAGGGTTTGAGCATGGATTGATAAGATAGTATTTGCTTTTCAGATATATCACTCTAGCTGCATGCCATCTGAAAAATAAGGCAATGAGGGAGGGAGCAGTTAAGTGGATATTGCATTCATCTAGGTGAGACACAGATTTGGCCTTTTGGGTCCTGGCATTGGCAAGGAGATGGAGGAAATAGGGTATGCTTAGTAAATGTTAGATAAATAATAACTTGTTTTTATTACAGATACTGCATATGTTATCTCACTAAATCCATATAAATTCTCTGCAGGGAAGGCTTCTGGTCTATTTTCACATAAAGAAAACAATGTTTCAAGTGAGTAATGCTTTATAAAATAGACCACTTAGGACCAGCAGTTGGTGTAACCGTTATGTCGCTGGATTCCCACATGGCCAACAACAGTTCAAGTCCTGGACCTAGGGGCTTGAAACTCATGCCAGGCACATGTGCATACATGCCCAAAATCCCAAGAGGAGAAAGAAGGAGAAATGATTGCAGCATGGCCATCCCTTATGTGTGTGGGGGGTGAGGTGGGGGGGTGGGGAGTGATTTCACTCTTTCTGTCTCTCTGTCTCTCTGGTGAGCACACGTGTCCTAGAGCAACAATCTCTCTCTAAAAACATTATAATAAAGGACCACCTGAATTAAAAACATAACCATGAAACAAGATTGCACCTTAGCTCTTCTTTGAGCAAAAGAATGTGGACTTTTTCTCTGTTTGCCCTTTATATAAAATCCATGCCAGAAACACGAAATAATGTCACAGGCTACATGGTCATTTAGAGACAGAGGCTGCCAGAATGTTCATCTATTTAGATTTTTTTTTTAAAGCACAAAAGTAAGCACCTATATTCATTGATAAATTGTCAAACTCAAAAATGTAGAGCTCCAAATCACAAATATATTTACCATCACTTCACTGAACTATACTCTTTAATAGTTGCTTTGCATCATCATCCTTATAAACTGCGTATATAATCATCAGAGTACTTTGTAGTTCTACTTGCATGTATTGGTGTCGAGTAGATACAATTAAAGAATCACTTTTTTTTTTTAAAGTAAACCCCAAAGGTCTAAGGGGTTTTTGTAGTTATCCCATGGAAAAATAATCATCTCATCTAAATTTCTCACACTATTCCCAAGACTACTCTTCTTTTTGCCCCAAGAGTTATAAATCCAAATGCTTGCAGAGGCCAGTCAGGGATGGCAAAAGTATACAAAAGCCTGGGGGAGTAAGAGCTGTAACAAATTAGTAAATAGCACTTGGGTTTAATTAAAATATATCTACACTCACATAGACGGGAGGATTCACACATAACTTTGGGCAAGGGTCAACACTAGCCTATCAGCTCTGCACTGTTTGCTAGCACATAGACAAATATCCCTAAGTATTCACAAATTATTAAGTGCAATATACTTTTAAAAATCTAAAAATAATGTTGGATGCTTCCTTAAAGTTCATCTTCAGGAAAACTGTCATTTTTATGATGCTGTTCTATAACTACTCCAAAAAAAAAAAAAAAGGGCTGGATTCCCACAGGAGCAACTGCTGTTCAAGTCCCAGACGTGGTGGCTTGGAAATCACTCTGGGGGCCAGCGGGTGAGAAATCCCTCCAGAAGTAAGGGCCAATGGTACTCCCTCTCCACTCTCCTCTTAGGATTTCGGGCATACACGCCCTGTGTCATTTTCAAACTGCTGGGTCAGGGACTCAAACCATGGAGTCACCCCTGTGGGATCCTGCTGCCATAACCTTCATGTCACCTGCTGGCCCTGGGATTTTTTTTTAATTTTTATTTGTTTCAGGGCACATTTGTTCACCGGAGAAAAAGACAGAGAGACAGAGAGAGAGCAAGAGAGAAAGCACCCCCCATTGGGAATGGCCACACCGCAATTGCTCCTTCACATCCCTCTCAAGATTTTTGGGCATTCACGCACAAGCGCCTGGCATGTTTCTCAAGCCACCAGGCCTGGGACTCGAACCACACAGTCGGCCATGTTGGATCCAGCTGCTTTCACCACCACGCCACCAGCTGGCTCCCCGTCTTTCCTGACAAGTGCTGAGAATTTTAACTGGTCCTCACTGCTCACCTTCCACAGAAGCTGGGGTGTCTGTCCGCTGGAGGTCCCGCAGAGGATCCCTGCTACCCACACGTCCTTCGGAGCTGGGGGGAATGAGAACAGGGGAACGCATGAGAGACCAGCCAGACTTCTGGGGAAGGGGGTGGTGGAGATGGGACGAGCCGGTTAGCCTCACCGGACTGAGGTGTCTGGAAAGACAGAGGGGGGCTCCACTCGCCCCACAGATCCTCCTCTGTCTGCACCCGGCAGCGGCCGGACACCTCATAGCTGCTGGCTAGTTCCAGGTCCTGGATCTCCACGGAGGCCAGGGACATGCTCAGCTCTGGTTCCACCTGAGGACGGGACAGGGGACAGTCATGGGCCAGGGAACAAGTGGAAGGTACTTGAACGTCAGTGTTAGCAGAGTGACCAGCCCTCTTGGCTGGCCTTGAACTGGGCCTCTCAGGGCTGGCCCCACGGCCTGGGGGTTAAGAGAGTCGGATCCTGGGACCAGGAGTTAGCGTAATGGCTATGTCACTGGACTCCCATGTAGTTGACAAGAGTTCGAGTCCCAGACTCGGTGGCTTAAACTCACGCTGGGCACTTGTGCGTGCGTGCCCAAGATCCCGAGAGGAGAATGGAGGAGAAGGGATTGTGGCGTGGCCATCCCCGCTGGGGGTGATT